ATATTATCAACTTGGCCATTTAATCGGAAAACACTATCTAGTTCACTTATTCCAATAGCATTTACTAGATTGGTGGCCTCACGAGCTATATTAATTTTTTCAGTGTAAAAAAATAGATATTCAGATGCTATAATAGCATTTTAAAGAAGTAAGAAAAATTTATAATTCAGACCATAAATTTAACAAGATCAAATAAACTAGTATTATTTAATTAAATAAAAAAAACATAAACTTTTAATTTATAGTATAGGGTTAGGATAATTTAACATAAAACAAATAAAAAAAATTACAAACCTTAATTTCTAATAAACCCAATGTAGAAGGGTGAAATAAAAAACATCAAACAAAAAAAAAACCCTACAAAACATGGAAAGCTCACCAAACCTCGCTATCTAGATCATGCAAATGAGATAACCAAATAAAAGGTGAAATGAAAAAAAATTATGATGATCAATTATAAAACTAATCCAATGTGAGAAATAAAAAAATATTAAATTAAAAAAAATATCTCTCAAAAAAGCTAAAGTCAATATAAGCTAACTTATCAAATCCACAACCCATGCTATAAGATTAGAATAATCCTATAAAAAAAAAATTAAAAACAAAAATAAAGTTTAATTTTTTTTAAGGATGAGTTTGAAAAAGAAAGTCAGTTAAAAAATCAATCGTTGAAAAAGATAGATATCAACTTTTTAAATTTATGACCCAAGTCTTGAAACCAAAACCACCATATCAAGAAAACAACTGTTAAAAGATGAAATTAAAAAATAATTAATTTGAAAAAGGGTTCAAAATAAAAAATAACAATCAAAATATTGAGGATATAATTTGAAAAAAAAAAAGAAGACAACTTAAGATTTTGGGTTAAAAGTTGAAAATGAAAAAAAATAAAATTTTATAAAAGAATAAAAAAAATATATTAACAATTAAAATAATGATGATTGAATTTGAAATAATAATAAAATAAGAGGACAACCTTGTTCTATGGATATGTCACAATGAATTTTAAATAGAGAAGAGAGAAAGAAAAAAGTGTTGGCAACAACAAACGTTCGATCTTTATGTCACATATGTTGTTTAGATGAAATATCATGCTATAATGCTTCCTTCAAAATCATGGAAGACTGTTTTACTACTTGAGAAAACCACATGTGCCACTAGAGCACTGCGACTTGCATCACTTATAGGGACGAGTGATAGGGACGTGCATTACATGTGCCATCCAATCTTTAATTG